ACCATACCAGAAAATTGGTGAGCAATACAAATACCAGTGAAATAAAAATTCGGGAAGCAGGTTCAGTACCACAGTAGGCAGACAAGACAATAAATCCCACGTTCTTTAACATAAATCCTATGTTATGTTTGGATACTGTTTTTTTTAGGGGGTTTAAAAGGCATAATTCCTCCTCCAGTATCTATTGTTTTTTGCTGTGATGAATTTTTTTCAAACTGTTAATGGTAGGGTAGGTAAGAATGGAGAAACCAGCTCGAGTAAGCTATAATTTGAAAGTACACAACCGAAAAAAATCTGCTCCTTCCTTCAGACTTCCTTACAGAGCCCCTCCTCCAACACACACGAACGCCAGTGGCGGCCGGCCCATAGGGGCGCCGCCCCACCTCTTCCCACATACAAAAAAAAATATTAAAAAAAATATTAAATTTAAAAAAGAAATATTTAAAAAAAAAAAAGATTTTAAATATATATATTTTTATTTTTAATGAACAAGGTAAATATCATACAATTGATATCAGTAAAATGTATAATCTACAATAAAATCTCGTTTAAAAATGTGTTACGATGTCTAAAGTTACTGATAAGTCACATGTTTCCTGCCTGGCCTTGCCCGTGGCATTAGTTTATCATTACCGGGCGGAGCCCCCAAGCCAAACAGCAGCAACCAGCACGTTGCAAAAGTCTCAATAGTAAACTGTGCCGCCGAAAAATAATTTCAGTCAATCAGCGCCGTCAAATATTTTGGTCACGAGGGCGCTCACGTTGGCGCCCACGTTGCTTACGTGCGTTGACGCGAGTTGTTTTTTAGACTCGTGAGTGACCAAGGTGTTGGATGAGTTGGATGAGAATGGCTTCGTGTGCAGGTGGAGTCGCCGGACCTCGGTCCCCGCCCAATTCCGTTCAAGAGCTAATCTCCAATCCTTTCGAAAGGAGAAGTTTGGGAGATAAACTGTTGCTTAAAGACCTTGGACCGGACCAACCCGATTTGTATATATCGCAGCAAGCTCGTGAAAAAGACAAAACGTATCAACGAGGCTTCTCACGTAGCTGGTACACCAGAAAGGCATGGCTAGCTGGATGCAAACAGGTAAATGCTGTCTTTTGTTTCCCATGCTTGCTCTTCAAACAGCCGGGGACAGATACGATCTGTTCAGAAACTAGACAAAAGTTAAACAAGTACAAACCACAGACTGTCTGTGTCATGGAGAATACAGTTGCTGGTTTATTTATGTCTGTATAGGCCGTTGTTGTGAGTGTGGACGGTCGGAGCATATATAACGTTAGCTTAGCCAAGCTCCATTCAGAAAACAAGCATTCTAAAAGGTTTTTCGCCTGCCGTCTGTCTTCAGACTTGTCAAAGCATTAATTCATGGTTTTTACTAACCGGTATCAGTATGTTGTTACGTCGGCATCATTTAGAAACGTGTATTACAATTTAATCACGGTAAAATATGTTCATTTTGTTGTAGTTGTAGCTCCCGAGCGCGTCTTGTTTGAATGATGCGAGTAAACACAGCTGGCAGCCACGGTGAAACTCGAGCGACTAGAGCGATGCGATAGGAGCGTTTAGAGCGAAGCGAATATTCGCATCGCGTCCGGTCTGAACCATACAGTCTATGGTCTGAACGCAGCATTAAAGCGAGCTCCGCGCTGCACTGGAAATGCGCCATTACATCACCAGAATTCCTAATTTAAGGGGTCATTTCTCCCCAAACATTTTTTTTTACTCACTATATCAACAGCCCCACCAAAAATATTTTCCACCAGCCGCCACTGACGAACGCGCACATGGCCAATGAGGGCACAAGATAAGTTTGTACGCGAGATTTACAGCGCCACGGCTTCCACAGATGAAATATTTGTATTTATTTATTGTCAAAGCATTTAATGTATTCATTGCTATCGGGATGTTAAGAGCATTCCATGGAATATAACAAAACGTTTCTGAAGTGAATTACCTACCCTACCTTTAACTTAGATTAAATATGAAAACATTATGGTAACGTCGTTATACTTTACCTTTGCCCAGTACACATTTTTATTGAGTAAAGCCTAAATACGCCTTAATACAACTCAATAGCAGCTTTGATATTGAGCTAATAGCTAACTTTAACTAGCTCTCCTGCTGATTTCAACATGGATTTGTTGTTTACACTGTAACATTAACATGGGCAGAAGGGCTGCATATCCTGGACATGTGATAGTTAGCTTAATAAAGTTTGTAATGTGAGTGAGGAGGGGTGATTTGTTGAATTAAAGAGGAAGGGGCACCAGCAGACAGCTGTTAGCAATAGAGGAAGCTAAGGAGGAGCGTGTGTGCTTTATGAACCGATAAGCAGAATTACAATTTATTGTATATTTTCAACACGTAAACAAGGCTTAGTCCTGAACCCCCCACAGTACTTATGGTACCAAACAGGCACTGTCACATTTTCAGCATCTCGGCTTTGACTTGTACCAAAGTATTAGTTCTTGTGACATCCCTAATTAAAAGTGAGCGAGATGTTGAAAAAGCTGTGAATGTTTACATGTTTGGGTATTCAAATGAACTGACAACAGCATGACATGCATACTTGCTACGTCCCCACCTGCCCTGAACCGGATACCTGCCAACAGTTCCTCCACTCAACATACACCTGATTCCCCATTTGTACACCCACTCTCCAATCCTCCCTCCATGTCTTTCCAAAACGAATTGGAATAGTCGTTCAGGTTGTCAGCCTTGTTCCCTCCTATGTCTCACCTGCCTCTCTCAAACACTCATGTACACTCACACACAGCGACATGTACAGCACATACAGTGGGGCAAAAAAGTATTTAGTCAGCCACCAATTGTGCAAGTTCTCCCACTTAAAAAGATGAGAGAGGCCTGTAATTTTCATCCTAGGTACACTTCAACTATGAGAGACAGAATGGGGGGAAATAATCCAGGAAATCACATTGTAGGATTTTTAATGAATTAATTGGTAAATTCCTCGGTAAAATAAGTATTTGGTCACCTACAAACAAACAAGATTTCTGGCTCTCACAGACCTGTAACTTCTTCTTTAAGAGCCTCCTCTGTCCTCCACTTGTTAACTGTATTAATGGCACCTGTTTGAACTCGTTATCAGTATAAAAGACACCTGTCCACAACCTCAAACAGTCACACTCCAAACTCCACTATGGCCAAGACCAAAGAGCTGTCAAAGGACACCAGAAACAAAATTGTAGATCTGCACTAGGCTGGGAAGACTGAATCTGCAATTGGTAAGCAGCTTGGTGTGAAGAAATCAACTGTGGGAGCAATTATTAGAAAATGGAAGACATACAAGACCACTGATAATCTCCCTCGATCTGGGGCTCCACGCAAGATCTCACCCCGTGGGGTCAAAATGATCACAAGAACGGTGAGCAAAAATCCCAGAACCACACGGGGGGACCTAGTCAATGACCTGCAGAGAGCTGGGACCAAAGTAACAAAGGCTACCATCAGTAACACACTACGCCGCCAAGGACTCAAATCCTGCAGTGCCAGACGTGTCCCCCTGCTTAAGCCAGTACATGTCCAGGCCCGTCTGAAGTTTGCTAGAGAGCATTTAGATGATCCAGAAGAGGATTGGGAGAATGTCATATGGTCAGATGAAACCAAAATAGAACTTTTTGGTAAAAACTCAACTACAGTAGACGTGTTTGGAGGAGAAAAAATGCTGAGTTGCATCCAAAGAACACCATACCTACTGTGAAACATGGGGGTGGAAACATCATGCTTTGGGGCTGTTTTTCTGCAAAGGGACCAGGACGACTGATCCGTGTAAAGAAAAGAATGAATGGAGCCATGTATCGTGAGATTTTGAGTGACAACCTCCTTCCATCAGCAAGGGCATTGAAGATGAAACGTGGCTGGGTCTTTCAGCATGACAATGATCCCAAACACACCGCCCGGGCAACGAAGGAGAGGCTTCGTAAGAAGCATGTCAAGGTCCTGGAGTGGCCTAGCCAGTCTCCAGATCTCAACCCCATGGAAAATCTTTGGAGGGAGTTGAAAGTCCGTGTTGCCCAGCGACAGCCCCAAAACATCACTGCTCTAGAGGAGATCTGCATCGAGGAATGGGCCAAAATACCAGCAACAGTGTGTGAAAACCTTGTGAAGACTTACAGAAAACGTTTGACTTCTGTCATTGCCAACAAAGGGGACAACAAAGTATTGAGATGAACTTTTGTTATTGACCAAATACTTATTTTCCACCATCAATAAATTCTTTAAAAATCAGACAATGTGATTTTCTGATCCTTTGTTTCAAAACTAAGTTACGTCACTGATGATTTTATTAAGAGATTGGCATTAGAATCACCCTTTGATCGAATCAGAATTTCTAAGAATCTGAATTCCTTAATGTGTCCCGCAACTGGGAAATGTACAGTATTATAACAGCAAGAGTATAGTGCAGATACATTTAAAAGAGTAGACTTGGTACAGGTTATTATTAATAATAAAAAAAGTGAAAACAACAAAAGAAAAACAGATAAGAACACAATGGTAAAAAAAAAACTAAGAAGCAGTATATTTAAAAATAAATTAGCATAAAATAATATAGAAGTAGCAGCACTGTTTACATAGCTGGCAATTGGGGGTCACCCAACACTGTCTTATAAGCAATCCTCATCATCCATATTATCCTGAAATAGGAAAGCCACTAGTGAAGTCCACCTGACAGACAGCTAAACCCTGACATCCAAAATGACAGGAGATGATAAAGCAGTAATTGGTATGTCCCCTTGAGAATTCCATGTCAGTGTACAGGTTATAGCTTTTTCGTTGTGAATATATCCGGCCTATAGTAAGTAAGACATGACACATATATCCCAACCTGACATTACAAGCCGAACCCAGACCGCTTATAATTGGGTTTTCCCTGGGATTTAGTGTCACAACAAAACATTTTTATATTACGGGGCTTGGGATCAAATATAAATAGTTTCTTCTATGTACCTGCGACAGATCTGTAGGGCATACTTACCGAGGTATAGACGTATCCTTCACTATTCATGGCCAGGTATAATCCCGTTTTTGCCCCCTGGATTGCCACAATCCGCAGTCCCACCGGAATTAAGTTGAACTGTGCTGAATCGGGGAATAAAATAGGAGAGAGATAGGGCACGACAAAGAGGGAGAGGGAAAAAATGAGAAAGTCAGAGAAGATTGTGATATCAAAGTCTGCTTTTTTGTCTTTATTGTATTAGGCTGAATGGCCGCACCGTCACTGCTGCATGCTATATCTCTCTTAAGCTTAAATGCTGTGACTGCTCAGAATGTATGTTTATTCAAACAACAATATATCACCTTCACTATGCTTTACACTGTCTAAACCTTTTATTATAGTGACAATGGGATATTTAGATACAGTATCTTTATTGTGAACATATTACCAATAAAATAGTTAATCCATCAAGAAATAACGTTGTAGAATACATTTTACATTTAAAAAAAAATGTCTTATTCCAACTACAATGTGAAAAAGGGCCTGTGTCTGAGTCTGGAAGGTCAAACAGCTTAAAAAACCCAAATAAATGATACTACGGAAGGAACACTGCACAGTTTGTGGTCTGAAGCCCACAATTAGATTGCTAAAGGTCAGGGAGAACATTCACATCATCTCAACGGTGGCAGTATGTCACTTAGTAGCACTTTAAAGTCAGACAGCGGATTTTTGTGGTTTATGGACTTCAAATACAGTAGCAGATCCACTGATCCACTCAGTATATGGGATTTCAAAAGGAGCATGAATGGCTTTTATCCTTAAAAGCACATATGCGCAAGGACGCATTCAATTACCAAAGTTTTGCAGTTTGACAAGATGTTCCTTCCTATTATAAGACAACAATAACAATACACATTGAGATCATTTTGACATGAGCTCACAAAATCCAAACTTGTGCCATGACTACTCTGCCACAGAGGCTTTTAGCACAGCAGCCATTTTTGGGATTGTTCTCCCAATATGAGCTGTTCCATAGAACATAGAAGACAATAAATACACCTGCACGTAATACATGCATCAATACAAAAATAATCTCGTTTTAACCTTCAAAACACGACCACGAGCAAAGACATGAAGGCTATACACACACACACACACACACACACACACACACACACACACACACACACACACACACACACACACACACACACACACACACACACACACACACACACAGGGTTCCCACGGTACCTGGAAAACATGGAATTCTTTTTTTCATTTTCCAGGTATGGAGAAGTCATGGAAACTGAGCAAAAGTGAACACTTACATGGAAATAGAAACAGTTGTCCTGGAAATTTGTATTGGATGTGGTGTAAAATAGTAATAAAATGAAACTATTGAGCACAGAATTAAGATGAGTTTATAAAAACCATTTACATGTAAACAGCTTTTACTGTAGATAGAAATGGATGATCCCATGTTGTAGAGCATGCTCTTGGCATCCTATATGGTATATTGGATGTTGGAATTTGATGCAGGCAACTTGGTGATATGGACTTTAAAAGTAAAGTTTCGGATTGGTGGACTTCAGGAATAATAACGTTACTCGCGATCTCAATAGAAGGGTCAAATACATGTATTTCCCAGCCAACACGGGAGCCTTGACATCTACAGTGAAACTTCTTATGCAAGTTTATCCTCAAATGTAAGTAGCTGTGTTTTAACTGTGGTAAACTTGGGTTTATCAACGTTAGTTAGTAAGCAGTGCAATCTTGCTAACTAGCTAGCAGTTTGAGTTTGTTTTGAATTTGGATTTGTTAATGATGGTTAGCAAGCACATGGAGTGCAATCTTGCAAGCCAACATTCAGTTTGCTAACTAACTAGCTAGTGTAGTGTTGGCCAGTGTTGCCAACTCCATAGTAAGGAAAGTAGCTATTGGCTGTCCGAAAAGTCGCCAGAAGTCGCTAAATGACGTCATCGCCTAATTTGCATATCATGTAATGGCGGCTGTAGGAGAAAGCATGGTAGAGGGGAGTACAAAAAACGTTCCCAACCCTTCAAGGATCAAAACTTGAAACCACCGGAGTTAAATCCAGACGACAGTAGATCAGAAATGTCTCTATTCTGCAAGGTAAAATTACTTTGTTGCTTCCCCGTCTTAAGCAGAACATAACTTTATTATAGTGTGAAAGTGAGTGAAGAAACATTTACATTTAAATCCCGCTCAAAACCAGGACGGCTTGGCAGTTGGCGCATGCGCAATTCATTTGCAGTCTCGACGCGGGGGAGTGTGGTTGTCTCCTCTCTGCTCTGACTGCGGCCAGGCAACTGTCAGTCTGAGAGCCTGTGAGTACTATGGGAGGGAGGCGGGGCTCACGGCAGCACCCGCGGCTCGTTAACTGCAGAACAATATGTGAGTCTCCAAACACCAGAAAAGTCCCTAATAACACCATTATAAATCGTTAGATTAGTCGTTAGTCGCTTTTGACACAAATAAGTAGCCGGAGGGTTTGGAAAGCCGCCAAATTTAACGAGAAAATCGCCAAGTTGGCAACACTGGTGTTGGCTAGCTTGCATTGCTAGCTAACTACCAATACATTTTCACATTAGGCTGTGACATTACTTATATACTAGTTGACATGAATAGTCTAGTCTTGATACATTTTGTAACATTCATTCTTATATCTACTTTTAGCTATTTTGTGATTTTTCGTTTTTTTCTTTAAAAAAATTATACTACTAAATAGGAACATTTGGGGTGAGACATTTTTGAAAAATCATTGATCATGCCTAGACTGATACTATACATACTGTTAAGCTAAGCTTACTAGTGGGGTTGCTGTACTGAGGAACCACAGGGGAACCAGCCTTATGTTTTCCCTTTTAGGTTCATTAGTTTGATTTACAAAAGATTTTACAGAGTAAGAGTAGGCATACTACTAGACTCATAATCTCAAATGTGTGATGCATTACAGGAGTGAGTGACAATGACACGCGGCAGATTCAAGTCACATTGGAAAGATGACTCTCAATACAAGGACTGGATTGGCGAGGTACCAGGCGATGTCCACAAGGCTTATTGCAAGTTTTGCCGCAAGTCATTGACATCAGCAATATGGGGGTCGCTTCCCTCAAGAGCCATTCAAAAGGACAAACCCACACCAAGTTAGCTGGACAGCTAAATAATGAAAGAAGAATGACAGATTTCTTGACTACAAAAACAGGAGAGGGAAGAAGCGGCCCAACAAGCCAGGATATCGAAAGTGACAGTCAGGTGCCCAGTACCAGCAGTGAACAGCCTACGGAAAAAGGCTCTGGAGCTCAGGGGAAAACATTTTTTTCAAGCCAAGCAGTATTTGAAGCAGATATTCGCTGGGTCATGAAGATGGTCAGGTCACACTTCTCGTTCAACTCCAACTCTGACATTTCAAACACTTTTGCTCAGATGTTCCCAGACAGCGAAATTGCCAAACCATTTACATGTGGCGCAACAAAATCAGCTTACCTTATATGTTTTGGCTTGTATCCTCATTTTAAAGAGCAGCTGATCAAAGACGTAAGAAAAGCAAAGTGTCATGTAGTGTCTTTTGACGAATGCCTTAACAAAGTCACACAAACAGAACAGATGGATATCATTCTGCGCTAAAGTAAAGGAAAGTAGCTGTGCGTTACTTCACTTCAGAGTTCCTAGGACACACTCAGGCAGAGAAGCTCTTGGAGAGTATCAACAGATCCCTGTCACCTCTGGACCCCAAGAAGCTCCTGCAAATATCAATGGACGGCCCTACAGTGAATTGGAAGTTTTTAAGAATATTCCAAGAGGACAAGAGCAAAGAGGACCCAGATGCACCAAAGCTCATCAACCTGGGAAGTTGTGGTCTGCATGTTGTGCATGGAAGTTTCCAGACCGGAGAGAGGGAAACAGGTTGGAAAATCGGAGAAGCGCTGAGAGCGCTTTGGCAGGTGTTCCATGACTTGCCAGCAAGGCGAGAGGATTTCAGTGAGCTGACTAAAACGGCAAGAATTCCTCTGAAGTTCTGTGCCACTCGATGGGTTGAAGACTTGCAAGTTGCTGAGCGGGCAATCGAAGTGTGGCCAGCTGTGATGGCGTACATCCACAGCCACAAGAAACTTCCGAAGAGTAAAGTGTGAATATCTGCGTCCTACTTGACAGTCAAGAAGGCAACCAAAGACCCTCTTTTCCTGGCTAAACTTGAGTTTTTCGCTTTTGTTGCAAGACAGCTGAAGCCTTTTTTGAAGGTATTTCAGACAGATGCCCCAATGGTGCCATTCTTGGCAAAGGAGCTCCAAAGCACCCTGACAGGCCTGCTGTCATGCTTTATCAAGAGAGAAGAGCTGGCAAAGATCAAGACACCTCTCCAGCTCACTAAACTGGACCCCCAAGAGAAGCAAATCCATGTCCCACTCAAACACCTGGACATAGGATTTTCAACCAAGCAGGCTTTGCAGAAGGCATCTGAGAAGCTCCAGGAAAATCCAGTGAAAATCGTGGAGTTAAAAAAAGAATGTGTCTCCTTACTCGCAATGACCTGCAAGAAAATTATGGAGAGAAGTCCTCTCATGTATCCAGCTGTGCGGCATATGAGGTCCCTTGACCCTGTGATGATTGTGACAGAAACCGAAAGTACAACAGCAATGTTTGAGAAACTCCTTCAGGTTCTCCTCAATGCTGGATGGTGCCCTGCCACAGAGTGTGACAAAGTCCTTTCTCAGTATAAAGCATTCTCACTCTATGTCAACACAAACCACAAAGCAGAGTTCCAAGAATTTGTTTACAGCTGCAAACTTGATGAATTCTTCGGAAGATATCTCAGTGGTGCAGAACTGTGGAACATCATGCAATGTCTCTTCACACTGTCTCATGGACAAGCTGCAGTAGAAAGGGGGTACTCTGTTAACAAGGATATGCTTGTTGAAAACCTACAGGAGAAGACGCTAATAGCAATGCGCTTAGTCCACGATGCAATGGCTGGGCACACAGATGGAGCTCTTCCAAAAGACCTCAAGCAACACTGCAGAGGAGCAAGGACAAGATATGAGATGTATCTGGAAGACCAGAAGAAGTTGAGAGAGCAAACCACTAAAGAGAAGAAAATAAAGGAGCTCTCCCAGGAAATCCAGAAAGTGAAAACAAAGCGGCAAAAAGTAATGACTAGCGCTGAAACAATGGAGAAAGAAGCACATGAAATGGCAGTCATGGCAGAGAAGAAGCACAATTTTACACTGCTGTCAAAATCAAATGCCTATCGGAAAGGGGTTGCTGATAAAAAGGAAGAGGTGGCAGCTCTAGACAAAGCCCTGAAAGAGCTGCAAGAGTCTGTCAATAAGTTAAAGCAATGAGGTATGCGCAATAGCCTTTATGGATGTATGAAAGATTGTAATATGTATTGGTCACCCTCCTAAAGACAAATATAACACCATTTTAGCTTATGGAGATGACCAATTTTAACTCAAAATAACATTCTGTTTCAGATCTTCAGACTGTAGAGAGGAGGAGGAAGAGGAGTGGAGAGGGGGAGGAGCCAGGAGGGCACAGAAGGAAAGAGGGAGGAGGAAGAGAAGAGGGGCGAAGATGAAAGAGGAGAAGAAGAGGAGGATAAGAGAGTAGAGGATGACAGAGGAAAAGGGAGAAGAGTGGAGAGGAGTTGAGAAGAGTAGGAAGAGAAGACAGGAGCGGACACAAGAGGGGAGGTGTGGAGAGAAGAGGACAGGATGAGATAGGAGAGGAGTGGAAGAGAGAACATATATCAATCCCAGTGCTCATGTGTTTCAAAGTTCCAGTTCAATAAATTGTTGTTCATCTACAGCTTGTTGTATTATTTCATGCATTGATATTATCAATAAGACATAATATCTAAGCATTTACAATGTAGACTTGACTGGCACATCTTTTAAATCAAGTAAGTATACAGGTGTCCTAGGGGGTTGTGTGTGTGAGGGGAGGGGGGCGCGGATGAGGGCGGAAAGCTTCAGGGGCCTATAGATCATCACTTAATATGATACCTGGAAAATCAGGAGGTAGCATGGAACATTTTTTTAAGGCAAGCGTGGGAACCCTGACACACACACACACACACACACACACACACACACACACACACACACACACACACACACTCACAAAACGCACTGCTTTCATCCCTCGTGCTGTCCATCGTCCCGTCAGGTTGCATCTGCAGGTAGTATCCATGTTGGCTGTATAGCCGAGTAACAATGCCTTTCAGCTTTGGCTCTGCAAGGGAAGCACAGGAGAACAACATGGCATTAGAGTGGTGCCAACACAACAGTCGAAAGCAGAAATGTCAGTCATTAACAGAACCTGAAAAAAGAAAGGTTAAGTCAAACATGTCAGAGTTTAAAGACACCAACCACAGAGAAAGGAGTTTTACTATACACTATATTTCTGCTATATCTGAAATTCAAACATGGTTTAATACCTTTTATTGTATTGGATTTGCATTAGGTTTGTACAATTAGGAAAATTATGTACTGTTAGTCATTTCCAACCACACCGTGTATTGTCATGTTTTATAAACAGTGTATATTGTATTTCTTGTTTTTACTCATGTAGTACTAAGGTTTGCTATTCAATCCACAAAGACCCAATTTTTGCAAAATATCAAAACTTTTATTTAAAATTCGCAAATTATGTTGAGTCTTAATAACAAAGAAATATTGGTGCCAAAGGTAACATTGTGCCTCCTAACTTTCCCTATATGATTAACCAAAGCATTTTAAATATCAAAGACGCATGAAAGCCTCATTGGGCATCAATATAACGTCTTTAGGAAGTCTTGCCAGGAGATGAGACACCTGGAAGAACAGATGATTGATCTCTGACATCATTACCATAATAAAGGAAGACTTATCCAACCTCTAAACACTTTGAAGTACTACAAAAGAAAATAATACAGCTATGTTGGCTGTGTATATGATCTTATACAGTAGGTTAGAGATATTTCTCTAGATAAAGAGTTTAGGCTTTGAGTATCCAATAACAAGTTCTTAGATAATAAGTGAATTGCCCAAGCTACATTGTTAGACTAATTCGCCAAACACTCCATCTTACAATAATTCTGTAGTAATTCAACTGATGATTAGAATGCATGTATAACTTAAGTGAAGGCATCAGTACACTGGCCTGCTACATGTGTTATTTGTAGCCAGAGCTCTGGTCATCAAAGGGATGAAGTCAAGTGAGAGAGTTCGTCTGTCTCCTGCTAAATAAATAAAATATATATAATCAAGGGCGCTGGGTGGTGGAGGGAAGGGTGGCGGGTGAACAGAGAGCTTGAAAGTTTCATGAGCGGAGTCCCTGCAGCCTACTTTACGTTCATTTAAGAAACAGACAGAGTCTTTGCAGCCGCTCTCAGACATCACTAGCGCGCCCCTCAATTACACGAAGCACTCGCACTGTGTCGAGGAAATTAAGTTCTCCTGAGTGGCTACTCCAACAGCAAGGAGAACCCTGTAGGTCCTGTGACAGAGCTTCGAAGTCTAATACGTAACATTTCGGTAATAAAATGTCTAACAACTACCAAACCTATTTTGTATATTTTCTGTCAAGTTGTGTACTTACACTATCCCAAATCCAGCAATTTTCCAACCTGAGATAACCACCACTTTAATCAAGGCTTGTTTAAGTTGGTCGCCTCTTGCACATGCGTCAGAGTTTTTGCCACACTTCTTAGACCTTGGTTGCTTTAACTGTATAGTTTAACTGGATACTCATTATGGTCAACGGACGTATGATCGTAAGTTATCAGAGAAACAAGCTGAGCATACGTAGGCGGAAGAAACACTTGATTTTGTAAGATTATTTGAATCACCTGGTTCATTTGTTTAGACCCAGTGAGAATTTCTTAGGTAAATGCATCTTAAGTAATCAGTGAAAAAAGCTGAGCAAACGTTAGCGGTTAGTTTGCTGCCCCTCCGTCTTTTTCTTGCAGAACAGTATTAGGGAATTACTGATCTTTACAGTTAAATTGCTTATTTTGTGTTTCTACCAGTTTAAATCAGCTGGTCCAGGTGTTTTGAAGTATAGAAGACCTCTGCAGGTAATTCGGCTCCTGGTAAAAACGTCCTAAACGATGCAAAATGAAGTTTTGAGACGATAACACTCATGATCCCATTGTTATAAACAACACCACCAAGCTCTGTATTTTGTTATTGTTCTGATTAAGAGACCCCTATTGGTGGAAAACGACATATTGTACACTTAGAGCTCAGTCTTTTAGTCTACGCAGTGAACTGATGGTCTCCTTCCATGCAGCTTTAATAAGGGATGTGAACCATGGATGAAGGTGCAGTTCATGACAGTCTCTGGAGGACTAAGGGGCAATCAAGGGAGTCCCCCCTCTGCTAAACGTCATCCATGTCCTCACGCTCGTCCCCCGGGGAGGGACCCAGGGCACTGCGCAATCCGCCTGTTTTCCTCAGTGTGGCACAGGAAGCGAGAGAGTGACAGAGGATGCAGGGAGGAGATCTGTAGGACTATTTCCCGCAGGAAATGTGCCAGAGTTGAGGCATCAGTGAAACTGTGACCTACTCCCATTGTTACATGCAAGCATCTGCAGCACTCCTCCTCCATCCTCTCTCTTTCAAAGCTGCTTGTCAAAAGCATTTCAGTGTCTCTAGTCCTGCACTTTTCTTCTGTCTCTCTCCCCTTTCCCTTTTCATTGTCCTTTGAGCTGCACACGCTTTCATCCCACCTAATAACATCATACATCATCCAATCAGAGCAGGGACGCCGCTCATTACTTTGCCCCCACAGATGCAAAACAGAGAGATGAGAGAGTGAGACAGAAAGAAAGGGAGATGGGAGGATCAGGGAGGAGAGAAGTGAGCATAGGCAACACAGTGAAAGAGATGACACTGTCATTTCATTAGGAGCGACGGCTGTATGCGCACGAGAAGGGGAATTTTTTTTGGACGAAACTTCAATTGACAGCTTGTGCAATAAGGGTGCAATCAAAACTCCCATGCTTAGTGTCAGGGGCCGTAAACTAATGTTTCACTTAGCAGAGCTGGCTCCTACTTCAGAATCTTCGTCCCAATGCACAATAAATTCTCATACAGTGTAATGAAAGCTCCCAGCAAAAACTTTAACGGTTGTGCTTTTACTGCAGCTGCATTAGAGATTCATAGATGATAAAATGGAAGAAAACAACCCCTGTGGGCTCGTCCTATCTTGTTACCATACAAATATTGCAACTTTGGTTTATTGAGGCCCAAAGTCATGATTTTATACTGTTGTGGTCTAGAAGCATCTTTTTATTGTGGTGTTATTGACATAAAAGGAACTGCACTTATGTTTAGCTACTGAGACATAATTATGAAGATGTTGTGGACATTTATAACTCCAGGGTTCAATATGGGGGTATATTAAGGTTTTATAACCTTTTTTCATCGTAGCACAATAAACAAATCTGTATTTACCTGAACAACCCGTAAAATGCGTGATATTAACTATCTAAATGTGGTTTACTGAACGACCTGTAACAATATAAAGCAAACAATTGTCAGCACCATTGATAGCAGGTAAGACCGAGAGTAGTACTAAAATTAAATAATACAAGCACTACTTCTAGCAAAGAAATATTTGTATAGTGGAGTATAGAACAGTTTATGTTCAACCGCCCTGCCACCATCAATTTGATTTTGTCGTGACACGAGAGGCTGGAGCCAAGTACAACCAAACGCTGATGACATCTTAAGCCGACCAACTTGTTACAATTAAGTCGTATTGAACTTGAAATACACTTTAAAGCTCTTAGACAAAAACACAAACAAAATCCAAAACCGTCAAAGCCGTGCTAGCTACATTATTTACAAGCAAGCCTCGCCCCAAAGCATACCCATTTTTTATTTCAATGTTTTTCTCCTGTGACCATCATTTAATAAATAAACACCATGCTTTATTGGGGCAGACTTGAAACTAACAATTGAGTCTATAAACTCTTCAGGAAAATGTTTACTGAGATAATACATCAAGAAGTACAGTCATTTTTGTATAGACATCTATAAAGTTGGACATTTTGCTATCAGCTGAAGTGCCAACCAGATGTTAGAAAGAATGCAGGCCTTAGGAACAACCACTTTTAAGACAGAGGTTGCGTCTTGCCTGCCTTACCCTTTTTTTATGTCAATCGCAAATTACTCTCCAAGCTAATGTTAAGCTAGCAGTCAACAACTCCGGAAGTCAACTTAACTTCAAAAGACTCGTCTTCTGAGTAATACACTAGAGTCTAGACCATTACAGTTATAGATGTAAATAATAGTTGTTAATACCGTCCGATAGGCGGGTAGGGGGATGAAAGAGATGAAACATCGTAGTTTGCGGGATAAAGAGTCCCGGTGTATGTCACAAATGTTACACTGATATTTCTAGAAGACATAATTATTTGCTTCTCCTAGGAAAAAGTCAAAAAACCTTTTGTTGTTGAGAACAATACATAATGGGTCAAGGATCTACACTACAGTATATAGTGGATACAGGTAATATATTAACCTCACAAAGTGAATACAACACCAAGTTACCTTAAAAATAATTTAGGCTTTTCTTCCCCCAGTCTCTTGCATTAGCTGTGAAATTCCAAAGCTCTTTTTTGGCTCTAATAGTTGAGTGCAGCAACACAGCTTTTACCAACATGCAAATGAACAAAACTGTGCATAATCACATCACTGACTCCACTCAGTGTCATCAAGTAGCAGAGATGCACTACATCCCCATGCGTATCCTGCCAACCGCTCCCCTCTCACTGTTCTCCTGACAGCATCTGTCTGCATAATGTACACACACACACACACACACACACACACACACACACACACACACACACACACACACACACACACACACACACACACACACACACACACACACACACACCGTTCTGCCGTTCTTGTTAATTTTGCAGTAGGTTAGCATTAGGAGGGAATACATCAAGGCCTCAACAAACATGTCACAGTGTCTTAGTAACCCTCTCCTTTTATCAAGATGTAACAACATGCCAAGGTCAGGTTTGTCTCCTGGGTCTATGTCAGTGGTTCTCAAACTTTTTCTGTCATTCCCCACTTTGAACAGGTGGGACTTTTCAAGCCCCACCTGTTCCTCATCGCTCCAATAAAATGGTAGGCCAAGCGTAAAATGGTCAAATGTATCGTTCTATAACAGGGGTCTCCAACCTTTTTTAGGATGAGAACTACTTTCAAAAAATAAAACAAGTCATG